ACCTGAGATCCAGCTGGCAAATATGATGTTTATCGCCAAACCGCAGGTCCTTCAAGCAACCCCTCCACTCAATGAGCCGCCTGGCAAAGGGAGCCATGGGTACATCATGCCTCCCCCCCTGAATGGCCCTTGTTGGTTCTTAGTGGTGCGTAGTCGCGCCTGCAAAGCGTCACTAATGGTCACTAGGTTGCTATGGCTCCCCTTGCCATTATATACTGAATCAGCATATATTGGGGTGCAGCTGCTTCTTTGCTTATTTGAGGGTACCCTTTTTTGGGTTGGTCGAAAAGGAAACGAAGAGGAACACCCACACTTGTTTGGCGCCCACCAAATTTGACATACCCACATATTTCCCTATATATATATACACCTATATATATATATATGTATGTATGTATGTATGTATTGATCTCAGTGGCCGGTTTCTGGCTTTCTGTGTTTGATTTGGGGCTCTGTGCTTCGCGTTCAGGTGCAGATCAAGAATGCGGACATGAACGAGGTGCTGCAGACAGAGGTGGTGGAGCTCGCGAAGAACGCCATGGACAGATTCAACACGGAAAAGGACATCGCCAACTTCATCAAGAAGGATGGGATCAGAGCTCCCTAGGGGATATGGGATCTGTGGTTGTCAAAACCGTTTTGGGATCCCATTCCCTCCATTTTAGAACCTATTTTAGTGGGGATTGGGATGTTCACTGGGGGTACGGGGTTTTGACGCACAGCCATATGTAGTTAACATGAACCAATAGTTGTAATAGGGATATGTAGGTAACATGAACAAATAGTATTACTAAGGACGATGATGATGGTAAGCATAATAACGATAATAGCAATACTAACAATCATATTAATGATAGTACCATGAACAAGTACATCAGGGATATGTAGTTAGCATGAACCACTAGTATTCATAAGGATGATTCATAAGAATAATCATAATAGCGATGATAACCATACCAACAATAATATTCATGATAATAAAAATACATAAGTACATCAATCAATCGATGCATACATGAATAAATACATACATGCATATATAAGTAAATAAGTTAATCATAAACTCTCTCCCTCTCTCTCTATATTTGTAGATGGACAAGCAAATACACAAGTAAATAACTAGATACAGAAATACATAAACTATGTGACCCCATGTAGATATATACATATCAGAAAGGGATGTCCTGAGCGGTGGGTTCTTGGGCCCAACCACTTCTGCCTCGATACTGTACTACCTTTGGCTTCTGATCTTCTGAGAGCAAACCCAAGAAACATCGAGAACCCGCGGGCCAAAGCAGGATAATATGGCAAATGAAGTTGGACACCGAGAAAAAAACAACACGTCGAGAAATTGGAGAACTCAAACAATCTGACAAAGTCGCACAATCAAACACCAAAGGAAGAAACCACACAATCGGACAAAGAACATGCTTGGGTCTTGCTCATTTGCCAAGAGTTTCCGCTTGCCAGATTCTTTTCGGTTTTCTATGTGCCGCGTGCCACCAGTTTAGCCTGCCAGATTGTCCTTTTTTTCTTCTTCTTTCTCCGAGTCCTGCCGTTTTTTTTTGACAGTTTCCAAAGGAGCTTGATAAGAAGCGTGTTTCGAATCTACTTGAACTCAATTCGGGAAACAATTCAAGTACAGCTTCGTTTTTTTGAGCTAAAGCTTCAATAGTTCAACTTGACTTTGAATGGCACTTAACACATAAATTCAGCATGTTGTTTCTTGCAATGGGGGCAGGCCTAACAAGAGTTAAAACTAACAAAGATCACGAGAAAGATGCAACTTCAGTTCTATGAAATGCAGATAAAAGGTAATCCTGTATGCACATACGCTTCTATTTAAATCCTAACTTAAGATAGAAATGTCAATTGATAGTGTTCCTTATCAAACTCTATAAATCCTCTCACACCACACTTTCTTTTCTAGAATGCCCTATACAAATGTAGATGTCTACACATAACAATATATATATACAATGATAGTCGTGATCATACTAAGAATGACAATTATGATAACAACAACAATACACTGTACATATATATATACACGTACACGTGCAAAGCCCACTGGCTAAACAAGGGGATCCCTCTAAATCAGCTGGCAACCTTGATGAAGGAGCGTGGGAGTTGGATTTGTGGAGCACGTAGCTGTCCTTGACACATGGGGCAATGTGTCCATCATTTTGGGAAATGACTTTTTTTTTTTTAAAGGGTTTTAGAAGGAGAGGAACCAACGAGACAGAACAATTCTGGAAATTCACCCCTGTTCTTAGACACCCTGACTTGGTTGTGGACCATTTGTGCAATCGTTAAACGTGACAGACATCAAGTCGGGAAGCTAGAGGTTCCTTGTTCTCGGGAGACATGAGTGGCAAGGAACCCTGCCTTGGAAGTGAGTTCAAGTAGTCACTGCATGGGCATCAACCCCAAAGCGGAATTACGGTTGGGGGCTCATTTCGAGGGCTGGCTGCAAAAATTGTTTCCGGCAACAAACCATGCCCCCTTTCAAAGGTATTTGGACCATTGTTCAAGCAGAGGGTTGAATCGACAAAACCCTCCTGAGCAAGCAGCCTGAATGGCCCATGCGCTGTACAAAACAGAAAGTCATCTTCCAGGTACCTTGCTGCATGCCTTCTGTTGGACGGAGCTTTTGGCTTCCCTTTCCACCTGAATTTCAGGGTTCCCTCAAACAACGCACACCCTGGAACTCTGGTTGATGTCCCCAAAGAGGAAACCCTGGGAATAAGACTCCCTGTTGAACCATGGAACCCCGGGCGGGTAACGGGGTAACGGGGTATCGGGGGGCTTGGTGACTTTCCGAGGAGCTGGACAAGAGCCACACCCCCTTCTGGCACTGCATCGTGGGCCGAAACTTCGGATCTTACGTCACCCACGAGACCAAGCACTTCGTGTACCCAAGAAGAATCCTCCAAAACGAAAAGCATTTCGAGCGGTTCCGACGACGGGATGGGATCTTTTTTTTTCTTCTTTTTTTTTCCTTCCTCTTTTTTTGCTCCCATTTTTTTTTGGCAACCGTTTTAGGTGCACCTTGATCCCAACAGGGCTGCCCCGTTTTCCAGGTACTTCTACATCGACGAGCTCGCGGTGTTAGCCTTTAAGGCCGGGTGACGAGGGGCGCCCAACTCGCTGAGCGGAGCGGCCGGCGTTCGAAGCGTTTCACCGGGCCAAGAGTGAAACCTCCGCCCAATCGTTTCACCAGCGCGTCGCCTCGGGACGATGGTCGGTGTTTCAAGCACCCGAATCTTGTGCAGTTGTTGTTTTCAATCAGGCAAAAAGAGGTGCAAGCAGCAAATCGATACTGACACTCTCTTTCAGCATTCAACAAGTGAAGTTCCATTTCAACGCATACAACATGTCAATGGGAGCCACCCCATGCCCGAGGCGCGCTGCCCGAAGTTGTAGCCAATTCGAATTGGTCGCCTCAACTGTGGCGGCTGTGCGTGGGAAATAGTTGGAGTGCGACAAAAAGCAACGCGCTGTAGGTGTCCTCTTTCAGCACAATTCCCTTGGTAAGTAAAGGGGAAGACTAAACCAATAGGGGGGATAAGTGCTACGTTCATCTCGCTGGTGCCCTTTGCGCGGTTGCTGTTGGAGATATTCTTTTGGCTGATTTCGTTAAGATAGTGCAAGGTTTGAGGCTGTGCTTTTGGTCTTATTTTGAAGGGAAGCCGAAGGCAAGCCAGTTTTGGCTTTCCTGGACACCAGCGTTGCAAATATCCAGTGGGCTTCCATTGGTTGAGTTCGAAAAGGGCGCCTAGATGCCCTGGTTGGACCAAGCAGGTAGCACTATCAGCTCAATGGGTCAGCTTGTAGATTCTCGAGTGGCAGTCCGAAGACTGCCATGGCTTCTGTCTTGATATGAAGTCTGGCTGGTAGCAGGGCCCGTAGGATTTATCGTACCACCTTGAGGGTTGTTAGCCAGTGACTGTGGCATAGCACGCCAGTCAGAGGGGCGTATGACCAAACTTTGAACGGAACCTGTTTTGGGAATTGAAGGAGGTGGATACGCGGGTATGTCTTTTGTTGAGGGTGCCATCTTAGGCATTGTTTTGATTGGAAGCCAAAAAGCACGCTATCCATTGTGGTAGTTTCCATTTGGAAACAAACCCACTTTTTTGCCTTTTTCCGGCTGACGAACCAGTGGGTGTCCCGGCCTTTGGTTTCTACCATTTAATGGGAGGTAGATTTGGGATCTTCTGTTTTGCCCCGTGATTTCCTCTCAGAAAATGGCGGCTTTCAGGTGGAACAAAAAATGGCATCCGCGGTGTTTTTTTCCTGGCTTTACAGTTCCCCGGCAAATCAACATGGATTATGGCTGACAGCAACTGTTGGCAAGGGCAACACATGTGCCAATTAAGGAGCATACAGCCTGAGAATTGGCCAAACACCAGTGCCACCATAGACCAACAATTGTGATGCAGAGGCCCCCACAGCCGTAAATAGCACACAATCAGATTGTCACAACCATGTCCAAAAGCAGCACAACACAGCTCGCATGTTCCAAAGAGGTGCAGTGTTTTTGCCAACATGACTTCAACACACGTGAGGATGTGTGTGAGCAATCTGCACTGCGCGACACACACACACACACAAATGGGTTTGCCCTTCCTTTGGCCCGAAATGGGCAACAGGAAGCTTGAGGCAAGTGAAGGCAAAAACTTTGAAAGAGTTGGTCAAGCTGCTGCTGGAAGAAGAGGGACGCTCGTGGACGCCAGGATTTTACGTATTTTCTCTCGTAACGAACGCAGGCCATACGAGGGGTTTGGACGGATGCCGATGGGGATGCCGAAAAGGGTCTCGGCACAACCAGGCACGGAAGAAGGAGCCCCCACAGGGAAGCAACTGTGCTAGCAATGCAGATTATGATGAGCGTTTTTTTTGTCTTTTTGATGGATTTGTCCCTTAGGGGATTGAACCACAATTTCTTGTTTGTGAATGACATGCTGCCCAGCTTGTGTCCTGGGCACCTGGGCTCCAGGATCGTGACGGGGTCAGCATGTAGCTGCCTGGGCCATGGGCGGAACGGATCTGCGCGAACGGTGCCGGTTTAGATGCCTGACTCTTGGTCTCCTCATTCGAGGGGTCTCCTCAAAAGTGTTTTTTTTTTTTGGAGGTGGATATCTAAATATTCTAGGGGACACTTCCCCTTGCTTTCCAGGGATCCTTCTTGAGAAAACCATTAGAACCCCAGGAGAAACAGCGATCGGTTTTTGAAAAGAATTATGGTTGAACAGAATGGTTGGAATCAACCCCTAGAAATATGAACCATTGTCTGAACATATGATTTTCGTGCACCCCAGATTCAGGAGAAGAACAAGTTCGGCGTGAAGGCCTGCATTTGTGAACGGGAGGATTTAGCGAATGGGAAGTTGCTCTTGTTTGGCCCCTTGAGGCGGGTGAAGAGAGGTCGCTTTGTTGTCCTTGTTTATCTGCAAGCTTGCAAATTGTCATACAAAGCCCATCTCTCTGCGAGGAGCACCTTCCCGAGTGGATCCCGGTTACCCAAGTAGCAGGTAACCCAACCCATTTTACTCTTACTCTTTCCGAACCTACAAAAAGTGATCGGATCCCTGGCTGAGGAGATGGCTGTGCCTGGGCCTACTGCTGGGCCTCTTTTCGGCCTTCGCCATGCCCGGCGCCGCGCCGCGGGCGCGGGCGCGGGTGGCGCTGCAGGCGAAGCGCTTGGTGCGGTGTCCCAGCTGCGGCCAAGCGCAGCGCGCGGACTGCGATGGCAAGGGCCGGCTGCTGGGAGGAGTGGCCCAGGTCTTTGAAGGGGCACCCGTGAAGGCGGGCCAAACCCAGTCCTTTATTTTTTTGGGGGGAGAAAAGGTAGGTGTCAAAAATGGTGGATTCCATCAAGGTTTTAGTTTTCCTAACCAACAGGCAACCAAAGCGATCTAGTACATGATTGCCCACAAGTTGGACGGGCTTCTGTCGGGGTCATTCCCTCATTCCTGGCGGGGCACCAGCAAGAAAAGGAGCAAGCAGAGAAGTGGAGCGGCTTGAACCGGCTAGCTAAGAGGTGCCTTTCTGTTGCCGCCCGGTTTTTGTGAGCGGGGAACACCCTTCTGAAAATTGGTTTGCGGGGCCTGACGGCGCAGAGTTGCTTCGAGCCCTTGCTCCAAGCTTTCAATTTGAGCGCATCACCTGAAGGGTGACTGTTGAGACCGGTACGAGCACATGGTCAGCACATGGTCAGGCACCGAGTTCGGGGATCCCTTTTTTTCAGGAAACAAAACAGTCCCTGACCAGATTCTTCCGCAGGCCTACAGCGTCTGCCCCCGCTTCCGGGGCAGATATCAGCGCAAGGGCCGGAAGTTTGACAGCCTCTTTGACCCGGACATCGAGAACAAGGACTTCTTTTTTTTTTGGGGGGGGGTTGGTAAAGGCCATGGGTGCAGACAACGACTTGGGTTTTAGGTTGCTTTTTCTATTTCTTTGATGAATGGTGGGCAGTCGCACGTTCTTTGGTCTGAATTTTGGATGGCCGCTTCCTCAGCAGCTCCCACCTTGGAAGCTGACTGGAGGTCTGGAATACCGTTTTCCGCAAGGACCATTTGGCGGTTTCAGAGGGGGAGGGTATTGCGCGCAAGGCTCCTTTCTTAAGGGTACTCTTTCTAGGGTGGCTTTTCGGGAACCTCAGGAAAGCCACCGATTTTTCGGGTCCCATTCCGATCTTGATGGGCAACGACAAAGTCGCACGCATGGCCCTGGCTTGTGCGCGTCGCAAATTTTTAGGTGCGTGCTCGTACCCAAGGGTTTGTTTGGTTCTGAGGGAGGGTTTTGCATTGCTGTTTGAAAGGCAGGGCGTTTTTCTCACCCAAGAAACATGAGCCATTCGCCGAGGAAACGCACATGTCTGGCCATTTTTTTCCCCAGTTTCGCGCCACCTTGTACGGCGTGCTTTCCGTTGCCTTCGGCGGCGTTGTGCTCGGTGCCGGAGTTAGGAGCGGAGCCGCATGCTAGAGGTTCCGGCCACCTGGCGGTCCTTGACCAAGATCCGAATCCGGGAGCTGCCGGACATCGGCGCCAAGGCCGCGCGCGGCGCGCGGGTACAAGCGGGGGGCGAGCTGGGCGGGTCGAACAAAAAGGCCCTCGCTTTGGGCGAGACATCAGAGGGCGCTGAGGGCATGCGCACAAAGTTCATTTGCGTGTGCGGTCCTTTGAGGCTCGGCAGAGGAAAGCCGGAACCATTTTGGACGGAAATGAGGTTCGCCAAAGGCTCCCCAAACACATTTCAATTCCAAATGGTGGTTTAGCCTAAAGCACGAGGCGAAATGGGGCTTCAGCAGAAGGGAACAAAATCAAGCGGTTCGATACTTTTTCTCCAGCAGTAATGGCCTTCAGATCATCATTCCGTGATAGTTGGAAGGGTCAAGCCGCTTTGGACGCTGGCGCTTTTGCCCGGCAAGATCCCCAAAGTCAGCTTGAATGGATGGATGCTCAACAAGCGCAACTGTTCAGGCATGCCTGAAAAAAGTTTGTTTGGATTGGTTACTGGACTTGAACCAAGGGCAAATGTTGGGAGAACCCCACCTGGAACACCAGGCTCCAAACCGGGCTCCAAACCACCAAGGCAGAGGCTGAATGGAAACAATCAGGTTGCCCCTCCAACGGGGAGTGGGGGGGCTTCCAAGCAGGAGCAGCTTTTTTGGTTTCAGGTTGCCCTTGGATCCATCTTCCCATTGGTCAAGGGCCGGTTTCATTTGTTGCCCACGTGAAGGCCGACGGCAACCGAGAACGGCAATGACCGCTTTCGTGAAGCGCGTGGCTGAACAAACTGGAGCAGAGATCCAAGGGGGGCTTTCTTGTCGTTTCCTTTCACGAGCCCAAGAGTTCATGCATTTAAAGCAGTCCTTGGAACATGTGGCTTTCCTTTGAACTTTTTCCGCTCAGACTGAATTGGGCGGTTTCCTTCCGGATTCCTTTTGACCCCCCGTCCTGAACCAAAACCAGAGACACTGGATGACTTAAGACCCCAAAAAGAGGTTTCCCCCTTCCCCCCCCAAAAAAAAGAAAGAAGCTAGCTTTTGATGTTGCTTTGGATGAGGCTGAGGCTATTGATGCGGTTGCAACATTTACGTCAGGTCACCGGGGAGAGCGTGGGGCCCTACGAGAGCTTCGTGGTGGAGGACGTCATCCGCAAGGCTCCCCGCGGGGAAGAGCTCTTAGTGGTGTTCCGCAAAAGATTATGGAGCCAACACTCCAATTTGAACAGCCCAGTGGGTTTCTTTCGGATGTTGGAGTTTGATGTTTGCTAGGTTGTCGTTTGGATCTGCTTTGGGCGGAAGTTGTTTTCCGTTCATCTCCCAGGTTCAAGGGGAGGGGAGCAAGGTAAAACAGGATGTTTAGTTTCCGGTCAAGGATGTGTCTTCGTTTTCTGTTGCGGGTGCCTGAGGACATGAGAAGGTGATTGGACAATGGGTTCTCAAAGTAAGGGGGCCCGACACAACAAACGGTGGGTTTCCTTGAGTTCTCCCTTAAACCAACCCAAACGTGGTGTCAAAGAAAAGACGGCCCCAAATAGACCATATTTTTCCTGACACAAGCTGGGGCATGATGTTGGATGGTCAAACATATCTTTGGCACGGCGCTGCCGCTTGTGCCCCTCTTTTTCTTGTGAAGAGGCGCGCCGGCGTTTTTGTCCGCGAGCAAAACGCCCTGCCAGGGCGACCAGCACTTCTTGAAGCTGGCCGGCAAGGCCGGCTGGGTCTTCGACCGCGGGGTGGTGGGCCAATGGAACGGCAAGCCCATTTGCGAGCGGCTGAACTCATAGCGGTCCATCGACAAAAAGAGCGGCGCGGAGTCCGGAGCCCGGAATCCTGGTGCCAAGATCGAAAGGTGTCGAACAGAATCAGGTATCAAACATCAGGAATGACAGAGGCAGTTGCACGGGTATGCTCTCTGGTGCATTTATTGCATGGGTTGTAGGACACAGGCGAGCTTCGTTCAGTCATGCTGATTCAGTTTGCGCGAGTGGTGAACGGATGCGGTTTTTCGCAGCTTCGAAGCGTGGGCCTCTCTTGGATGGTCCAAAACCAACCCGCTCATTCGTGGTCTTCTAGCAGTAAAAAGCCACATCCCTCTTTGTATATGTGAGTTGCCCTCTTGGCAATATGGTTTTACCGCCCGCAAAACCGGGTTCCAACTGAAGAACCTACAAAAGTGTTTCGGGTTGTGGGTTTCCCTGGCAAACCGTAGTATTTCTCAAAATAGCGGGACCCCAAATGGGTTGTTTTCTCTTGGCTTCCCTCCAAAAAGGGGCCCACCATTTTGAAAATCCCCAAAGGCTTTGCAAGCCGATCCATTGCCGGCCACTAGGGCGGATCGCAGCACTTTCGGGCTCGAAGTGTATGTCGAGTTCAACTCCAGTCTCAGAAAAACAACAACATACGGATCTCGAGCTCTTCAAAGGACAACACAGACAGATTTGCCTCTCAGGACAGCCCACTCTTCATGTTGATTCAAGTTTCGGCCTGAAGCGATTGGCTTAAAGCGATTGCACCGAGCCGGGGCCTTAAGCAGCTGCGCCGGGCGAGGCTTTTTGAGGTGGAAGGCAGGGTTTCGTTTCACTACAAGGTAGACGCAGATACCCAGGGGTTGGTTCTATCAAAAGGGACCTCTGGTTTGGGTGGGTCATGAAAAACAAGCCCAAGCCAAGATACCGTAAATGTTTTGGGGGCCCAGAAGCCGTCAGCCCGAAAACTGCCTGCGGTTTCAACCCGCGGTTCAACCTGCTTTCTTTCGGTTCCCTTCGGTCCGAGCCTGCGGTTTCAGCCCTTGTTTTTGGGCGGTTTTGAGGAGAAGTGCAAAGTAGAACCACCCACTTGTTCGGGTTCTTGCATGTAGAGACCAGGCCCGTGACACTTCTTGAAGCCAAGTGAGCCATCTAGAGAACATGGCCCATTTGGGGCCCCGAAACCCTGGGTAGGGCGCGGTGCAAAGAGTGGGGACTTTTTGGCAAATGCCTCTGGTTCTCTTTCAATGTCCCTCAATGGTTAATTCAATGTCCCTCAATGTCTCTTTCAATGTCAATTGTTCTCTTTTGGTTCTCTTTTTGGCAATGCCCTTCTTGTTATTTGTCTCCTTCTTGCGATGGTTATTATTGTGCCCGGGTCATGAACAGAGACTTCTTCTTGGTCCGCAATGTCCGCAAGAAGCTAAAAACTACACCAGCGGCGCATGTCACCTTCTCCATGGCGAGTGGACTTGTGCGACCTTTCCGCTTTCCAGTTCTGGCACTTTCCACCCTTGCCATGTTCGTGGCATGTGTGGCATGGTACTTGTGACCGTTTTTTTTTGGGTGGGGCTGGTCAGATGCGACCTCCGAACTCGTACCGACAGAAAGGGGCCGCCGGGCCCGCAGAGTTGGATCGCGGCGATTGATTTGCCCGTCCGAGTCGAGGCGAGTTCTCCGAGTGGATGCGCGGCTCCGAACTTCGGGAGAACTGGGCGCAAGGGCAGGGGGAGTTGGGCCAAGGTTTTTTTTTTTTTTTTTTTTTTTTTTTTTTTTTTTTTTTTTTTTTTTTTTTTTTTTTTTTTTTTTTTATACATATATATTATTATTATTATTATTATTATTATTATTATTATTATTATTATTATTATTATTATTATTATTATTATTATTATTATTATTATTATTATTATTATTATTATTATTATTATTATTATTTATTATTATTATTATTATTATTATTATTATTATTATTATTATTATTATTATTATTATTATTATTATTATTATTATTATTATTATAAGATTTGGGTAGACTCCAGGCACTTGAGGTGTCCGTTTCGGACGGCCTGTGCATGGTCTCCTTGGGGACATGCCGAAGGAACTCCAAGCCTGAGTGATCCGGATCGCCCTACCCACGGAGTTTTTTCCTTCTGCACACCGCTGGCCGGGTGTGGGGCGCAGCGCCGGGCAAGCGCTTCCATGGGAGCATCGTTCCCGAAAGGTGGCGAACCCGTGGGAGTGGGTCGTGTGTGCGCCCCTTGGATGGAGCGCTTGTATCCTTCTGGCCAACGCACCCAAACCGGGACCAACCAAGCGGGCGGGCAGCGCGTTTTGCGGCCGCGCCGGGCTCCTCTCCCGCTTCGGGCCTGAGGTGTATGACAGCGACACGCTTGAGCTAATGTGCTCGCTGGGGATGCACCGAGGTGGTGTCATACCCCTTGGTGTTCGGCATGCAGAGAGGGGAGGCCAAAGATGGGAGCATGTTCGATGCGCAAATCATGCTCTTCTCAATTGCCAGGTTTGTTGAGCGGGGGAAATTGAACCACGGGCAGTTTTCGCGTTCGGATTTCCGAAATCCGCAAGCTAAACTCACACTTTTCCTGTAACATGTGCAGACTTCAGACTGGTCCAAGTGGGCGAAGAGCGCAGAGACCCAGGCTTCACCGCGTAGGAATGGCATTGGGATCCGATTTCGATGATGTTAACACTTTGGAAAAATGGTGGACAGTGGGATGTACAAAGGACAGATGGTGCCAGTGGATCCGTCAGGCAACCAAGGGTTCCCGATACCTTTCTCTTGGAACGCTTTCCCAAACCTCCAAACCCGAATTCCACAGACTGGGGCTTTGAAAGATGAAACTCCTTGGGCAAACCATGGCGCTGATACATTCTCGTCATGGCCAGGGACACCCGCAATCGCCAAAGACGCGCAATCGTCGTCGATCGAGGTGAGGGCGATGGGGAACAAGATCCTGACCCAGCGTGACTCTCAGGTGAAAATGAGATTAGCAGGGGTCACTGGGAGCATCGCGATTTGAATCCGGATCCATTGAATGCATGCACGTGGGTGTGCTATTGGCTTGGATCTTTGTCCTGTAGCTCGTTGGGAGCATGCTGGTTTGGGCAGGGGGTAGTAGGCAGCCGTGAAGTAATTAAAGCAATCTCATCATTGTTTACCTTAGGAGATAAGATCGGATCAACCCACGAATTTCATGGGGGTCGAAGTCTAGGGGCATTTTTTTCTTTTTCGGGGAGGTTTGAAGATCGCCTCACCTTTGCTGGGTTGCTTGCTACTTTTTGTTTGGCAAACACAAGTCCGGGCTTCTGACGAATCTACTCAGGAGGTGAGTCATCTTCTCCATTTTGGAGCTGACTTGCGGTGGCTTTTGTCGGGGATCAGGGGGAGGTTGGTCGGCCCTCTCGATGTGGGACAAACCGCAGCTTCTAGGCCGCTTCCTCCCAACACCCAGAGGAAGCTGCTCGACCCTCAAGCCCTGAAGCAGGGAATCACCCCATGATTCTGTATCTCATTTGACATAGTTTGAGGGTTGTAGACGTGTTGATGTTTAATTTCGAGAACCTAGAAGGGTTGTAAGGCAAGAATCCCAGACATCTCCCTGAAGCCTCAGTTCTTGGGGACCGTTCGAGTTTGATGCTCGGAACTGCGATCATCCCACATGCAGGTTCTTCAGTTGGACACCCGGTGCTTTGGGGCAGAAAGCCAAGTACATACAACAAGAGGGGTTTTGGGTTCTAATGGCACTAGGGGGAGATATGCAGAGTTCGGCCCTGGTGTTGGAACGGACGCATGCAGCTTGAAGGGGGCCCAAAAAAGGCGATTCCTTCACGCACGGATCGGCAATTTTGGGGTTCCGTTTTCTCATCGGAAGTGCATCATTTTAACCGAGGTACGATGTGCAGAAAGAGCCGTGCTACTACAGTGCCTTTGGCATCGAACAGTCTGTGAGTCAAGCAGATGTTTGGGCCATGAGTCCAGTCTTGATGTCTTCAACCGGAAGATTTTGTCGAGCCCTGCTCCAGCTATATTTCTCTTTTTGTTGGGGGCCCTTTGTATCAGCCAAAGCAGAAGGAGCATGGTTGCGGCACATGAGAGGCTCGGTCAAAAGGTACTGATTGGTCTATGGTCAATTTGGGGATCGGGACGGATCCTAAATTTGAACCACAAAAGGCAAGGTTCATGTTGATAAATCATTTGTTCAATTTCAACCTTAAAAACACACATTTTTACTTAACGTCGAGTTTGATTCCGGAGCACTGGTTGTCCACATCCTTGAGGATAGCCGCATATGTTGACCTTGGGCCGCAATCAGGGAAGCTGGCAGGGTCTTGGAATGCAGTTCTCTGGACAAAATAGCTCCTGTCTACTTTCCATTCTTGGCAAGAGACTGTTCCCTGGCCACCATGGAAAGAATGGGGGCTGACAAAACCACCATTGAGGAGTTTCATCTGGATTCGGTCCCAGGGCCTGGTTGAAATCGGTTTTGTCGCCACGAATCGTTTGATCTCCCCGGGAGGTCAATACCCCCTGGAATCCCATCGGCCTAAACTGAGGCACTAAGCTTGTTCACCACCCCATATGGCTATTGTTTTGTTCAGTCACCCCCAAAAAATCATAGTTGGCCATGGCAATTTTCGAGGAACACATAAGAGCCGCGCCCCCTTTTTCCATAAATCTGAGAACCCGCTCAAAGGTTCCTTGTAACCCTCCGAAGCTTTTTGGAGCGCTCAAAAGGTTGAAGGAAACCCCCCCCCCCCGCCTGCGATTCCAAGCACCCTGAACTCGGGGAGTGATAGCCACGGTGCTTTTTTCGTGGAGCTTCAAGCTAAAATCCGCTTTCTTCAGGCCATGACGTGTGGAACTCAAGCTGCGGCTTCTGGGGCTCGGAGTTTTTTTTTTTTGGGGGGGTTGGGGGGTTGTTTTCCTCGTTTCTCACGGGGGAAGGTCTCCGGGCCCTTCGTCCATTTCATTCTTCGCGGGCTCCGGGGCCCGGTGGTTTTCTTCGCTGGACTCGAAGTCGGAGGCCCGGAGTTG